TACCACGACCTTCCCCTTAGTAGATTACTGTTGTCGATATGAGCATCATATTTTCTTCTTTATATAAAAGTGCAACAAAATCATATTTCCCGATCATACCACTTCTCTGTTTCGATTTCAGAAAATTTGTGGGTGATATCGAAACATCAATCAGCTCATTATTTTCTCTGTGCATTTTCAGATCAGGAGGGCTTGTGTCATGTGTTGATCCAGTGATGACGAAAGATCATGAGAATATCTGGCTGGCTAACTTCGGTATGAACCTGAAAGACAAACGGAAAAAGTAAGCTATTACAGACTCATTACAGTTGCACCAGTGCTGTCGAATATCGCTGAAACTGCGGTGCTGAGAAGACGCCTGACAAGTCTACCCTAGCGATGCTATGCACATATATTACAGTGGTATCATACGTATCCATTATGTGCACTCGGCTTTACCGTACTGCAGTTTATCAAGGAATTCAGCATCATTCGAAGACTTACTATTATTGTACATATCATTGGACCTAAATTAGAAGGGTGAGGTGGGGATTGGTATGTTGTGGACGAGCTTAATCAGCAATCTTTGAAATGGTACCAGATATATCGTGCAGGCCGCAGCTTGAGCTTGAAGAACCAAATCCCCACTAAGTGCTACATTGACCAGGTATCAGAAAATTATCATAAAGGGACGAGAGGTGAACGACGCGTTGATCGGCCGGTCCCATCGAATCTATAAAAAAGGGTGGAGGACGGTGTGTTCTCGACTGGAAGGTGCAACAGCGACGGCAATCTTGATGCATCCCAGCCACTGATGCTTTTGAAAAATTTGGCCTGATTTCAGATCAATGTCATCAGAAGACTCAGAATACTCTTCGATGGCACCGTCGACAAATACTCTCGGACTGCCTTTGATCAAACAGGCAATCGCAGAGGTTTGTGTAAATGTATCCCATTCGCAAAACCATTCAGGATGATATCACCACGAAGGCAGTCATACAACCCAATTTTGATCCTCAATCAGATGATATAGCGACTTCAATCTCCTTGAAATGACTGCTTCTTTCACGGAGCAGTGTAGCCTTCCTATAGCAAGGATAAGAGACATACACGAACGATGAGCGGATTTTTGTTGACATACCCTACAGACACACTTATTTTAGTAGTTCTTTCTCTATAGCTCGTGCGAACAGTTGGAGAGTAGCGGAATTGGAACATACGAATGCGACTCTCACAATCACGCATCATTAGTTTCGTTATCCTCTTGAATGGGAAGAAGGTTTTTCCGAAAAGACCGTCAGAGTTTTCTTTCTATCCTTTCCTTTGATGACGCCTGTGTGACTAAAACGGTTTGTTGAGGTCGATGTGGATTTTCTAGCGGTGTTTCCCTGGCTGCGATAGCCACACTCTTTAGCAAATCGTCATTTTCGCAGAAACACTAGAGGCGTCATTCACAGCGTAAGTTAGGCGCGGAAGGAGATGTAAGGAAAAAAATTCTAGCGCGAAACAAAAATGATTAATTCATGGCTTAGCCTTCCGATCAGTGTATTTCTGACCTGCATTTTCGATCTTTGTCTATGCTCGTTCTTTCAAAGGAGACATTCCCTGAGAATGTGAGTCTATCCTCTTACAATTTGTTTCAGGTATTCTTCCACGTGCTTGCTGATGATGATAAACCAGAGAAG